CGCCCAGTCTCAATCGCTGTCTCAGCGTGCCCCGCGGGTGGGGCTGGCACAGCAGGCCCGGGGATCAAACCCCCGGCCCCTGCTCTTACTCACAGGCCCTTTAATCCACTGAGCTATTTGACTGGCCCGCTTACATGATTATTCTTTTTTAAAAAAATTTATTTATGTGTGTGTATGTGTGTGTGTGTGTGTGTGTGTGTGTGTGTGTGTGTCCAGCTCAGCCCACCAGGGGGCGGGGCTGGCTGGCATGTGGTGCTGGGGGATTGAACCGTGGTCCCTGTGCTTTGCTAAGCTTGTTCTAAGTAGGTGCTTTAGACCACTGAGCCATCTCACCAGCCCCACATGATTATTCTTAATTCTTCTTTTTTCCCCTTTCCTTCCCCTCTCTTCAACTCCTCTTCTCCTCCTTATTTACCAAAGTTTTATCTGTACATTTTTCTTCTTTTCATTTTTTTCTTTTCCCTTCCTTCCTCCCTAATTCCCCTTTCCATTTCAGCATTTGTTCCTATTTGATAATACTTGGCATACATTTTGGTTCCGATTTATACTTTGAGTTTCTCATGCCAGAGAGACAATGCTGCAAGTACACACGCATCTTATTTATTTCACCTAAGAGTGTGATCTCAAGGTGCATTCAGTGGAGTACTACTCAGCCATAAAGAAAGACAAACAAGACATTTCTAGAGGTTGCATTGTGCGGTTTTTTGTACATATATTTTATTGTTTTGCCAATGGTATTATGGTAGATTGTGCTTCCCTGTTTTTTTTTTTTTTTTTTTTTTTTTTTTTTTTTTTTTTTGCAGAACCAGGGATTGAACTCAGGCCTTTGCTCTTGCCAGGCAAGCACTTATTCTACTGAGCCATCTCCCCGAAGCTCTTCCCTTTTTTCATTCAAACTATGCTCTTTTTTTTTCATTTTAGTAAGTTAATTTACCCCTCTTTATTTTTATTTATTTGGTACAGGGTCTCACTGCGCAGCTCAGACTCGTAGCAATCCTTCTGTTTTCAGCCTCCTGGTACTGGGATTACAGGCATGCGCCACCACAGCCAGTCTCAGTGGCTGGCTCAGTGCGCCAGGGACAATGCTAGTACTGCATGTGGTGCCGGGCATTGAACCCAGGTCCCTGCACTTGTATAAGCAGGCACTTAGTCCTTGAGCTATCTTGCCAGCCTCTATCTTACCCATTTTAGTGTTCATTTAGTGAACGAAGGAAATTGGATGCAATCACATAACTACCTTTGTATCAAGACGTGGACAAGTCTCCCACTGCCCGCTCCCTGTCTTTTCACTGCCTGTGCCCCCTTCACACAAGCCCCCTGCCCTCCTGGTCCTAGACAACCCCTGATCTGTATCCCACCGCAGTGGCTTTGCCTGGAGCTTCCCTTAGATGTTGGGTGCCTTTCACCTGCACAGTGCTCTTCAGATCCACCCGTGCCTTCGCTGTCTCCATCCATCGTTCACTCCTTCCTGCTGCTGGGCAGTGTTCCATGGTGTGGCTCTTCCACAGCTTGTTTATCTGTTCTTCAGCTGTTGGATGTCTGCATGGTTGCCAGTTTCTGGCTATTGCAGATAATGCTGCTATGAATACTTCTGTACAGACAGATCATTGTGTGGACACATGTTTTCATTACTCTTGGGTAAACACCCGGGAGTAAAATTGCTGGGTCATATGACAGACACATGTTTAACTATAGAAGAAGTCACCAGATGTTTGCTTGTGCAAGTTGTACCACGTTGCGTCTCCAGGGCCAGTGCTCTTTCTACAGCCTTTACGGTTGGATTCATGTTGTCTGGTGCACATCTAGCGTGTTCTTTTAACTGTGATGCCCTCCATGGTGGATAACCACAGATCCTCCCCATGCCTCCCTGAAGAGCGAGCATGCAGCTTTCATCTGATTCCCCCAGCTACAAAGACTCGGCAGTCACTTCTTATTTCTCCTGTGTGACCTGTATAGCCATAATTCTTTGGTGGACACCCAAGTGGGGTTCCTGGGTTCAAGGGCACACGTGCATAGATGCTCAGTTTACAGTGGGGTTACACCCTGGTGGACCCATCATAAGCTGGAGTATTGAAAGTTCAGCAGACTAAAGCACCTGCTTAGGCAGGCACAGGGCTTCATCCCGGGTGTCGTGTGGCTTGCCAGCCCCACTCCTGGGGCACTTTGAGATGGTGATGGAGACTGGGTGTGGTGGTACGCTCCTGTAATCCCAGTGCTTGGGAGGTTGAAAACAGGAGGATCGTTATGAGTCCAATCTACACAACGAGACCCTGTAGACCCTGTACTAAAATACATTTTTTAAAAAAAGCTGGAATACTGAGAGTGTATTTAGCGCACCAGACATCACAGCTCCGCGGCACACAGTGCTTTGGGATTTCCCTTCCCCTCTGCATCCTGGGGCTCACAGGGAGCTGTCCAGCATCGTGAAAGGCAACCTTGCTGCTGACTGCCAGCCTAGGGAAGCCCACGGTTTCAGTTTCTCCTGAATTCGTATCACTTTTGCACCATCACAAGATTGAAAAATTCAAACTTAAGCCTTCTGGGCGTGGGGATCCTGGGGCTCTGCATCCCCGCTGACGCCTGCGTTGTTTCCAAGTTTTAGCCCACCCATCCACTGAATGCAAAATGCTACACTACTTGCAGATGCAGTTCTCAGATAACTAATGTCTCTGATCACCCTTCATGAGTACAATGGGCATTCCTTTCTCTATAAGCCTCCTGTTCGGATCCCTTCTCACTTTTATCACTTTTTTTTTTATCACTTTTTTTTTTCAGAATTTGTTTAAATATTCAAGCCATCAATCCCAGACTAATATTATCATAGACTGCAGATGTCTTCTAACTAAGCCATGCCTGCCCACTTACTCTGTCCCTGGAGTCTTCTGTCCGCTGCAAATGCCTACCTTGGGTATAAATGAACTGAACAGTTCTTTGCCTTTAGATGAGTCTTTCTGATGTTTCATAACTTGTCCCTCAGTAACAAAAATGGCCTCTACCATTATCGGCCACTCCCTGGGTAGCCAAACTTCTCAATTTTTTAAAATTTTTTTTTGGAACAGAGAATTGAACTCAGGCCCTTGCACTTGCCAGGGAAGCACTCATTCCACTGAGCCATCTCCCTGGCCCCATCAACTTTATTTTTTATTTTTTTTTTATTTTTTTTTATTTATTTGAGAGAGAGAGAGAGAGAGAGAGAGAGAGAGAGAGAGAGGTGTGTGTGTGTGTGTGTGGCCAGCTCAGCCCACCAGGGGGCGGGGCTGGCTGGCATGTGGTGCTGGGGGATTGAACCGCGGTCCCTGATGCCTTGCCAAGCTTGTTCCAAGTAGGTGCTTTAGACCACTGAGCCATCTCTCCAGCCCCCCATCAACTTTAGATGTTAAAACCTCATGGTGTTAAGTACCCATCTTATGCCCATTGCAGTGCTGGAGAGGCCAAGGCCCCGAGCAGCAAATGCCTCTAAGGTGCCGTAACTCTGAGTGACAGAGCTGGGATGGGACCCAGATTGCCCCCATCTGTGTTCCCCCTCTATTCCATCATGTACTTCTCCATGAAAGTTCCCAGAAGCAGAAATACCTGTGGAGAGCTTTTATTAAATATAATTTTTTTTTATTTATTTGGCACAGGGTCTTGCTACACAGCTTGGACTCATAGTGATCCTCCTGTCTCAGCCTCCCCAGGGCTGGGATTACAGGCATGCACCAACACACCCCATTTCAGTGGCGGTCACAGCACGCCCAGGCTTCCAGCGCCTGCACGGCGTGTGATACTGGGGATCGAACCTGGGTCTTGGCACTCACCAGCCAGGCACTTAGACCACTGAGCTATCTCCCCAGCCCTTGTGTGAGAGCTTTTAATCATCAATCTTTCGCTCAGTCTTCCTGACAGCCTAAGCTGTAGCTCCTGTTAATAGAGGGGATGGCATTGAGGACCCTAAAAGTTAAAGTGGTAAAACCAGATCTTGCCAATCCCACCCTCTCCGCAGGGTGGCCCAATTAGTCATCCTGCCGTACCCAAAGGGTTGTTCAGGACCCTAGCAGGTACCCGAAAGTGCACAGGCTGCAGCCCTTTCTGTACAATTTGGTGTGGCCAGGCATGCCTGCAGTGTACTTTAAACACCTCTAGATAACTTACAAATATGTGATGCAGGGTTAATCTAGGTAAATAGGTGTTCTATTGCGTGTTGGTTTGGGTGCTGGCGATCAAACCCTGGGCCCCGCATATCATGCAGTCTGCTACTGAGCTATATCCATTTCTCTGGCAGGTTTTTTTTTTAAATTTATTTATTTA